CCCCCCCGGCCAGCTTTCCCCAGTTTATGTACTGAGCATGACGTCACATGGTATGGAATAGCCCTTTGGCCAGTTTGGCTGTGCCCCCTCCCAGCTTCTTGTGCACCTCCAGCCTTCTCAGTTGGTAGAGCAGGGGAAACTAAAAAGTCCTTGGCTAGTGTAAGCACTACTTAGCAACAACTAAAACATTGGTGTGTTATCAACATTGTTCTCACCCTAAATCCAAAACACAGCACTGTACCAGCTACTAGGAAGAAAATTAACTCTATCCCTGCCGAAACCAGGACAGTAACTATTAAAAAAAAGTAGGTTCTGTTGTGCATTCTTGTGTTATCTTGAATTTTCAGTCTCCTTTACAGTGTTAAAATTATGATTTTTGTGACCTTCCTATAAAACAGAGGTTGAATCTTCTGTGCAAATATAAATAAATGGATCATGACCTGTGAGCTATTTTTTAATCTCATTTTAGACTGGAGCAGTGATGTTCCAAGAGGCTGCATAAATAATACACTGTGATATTATGTAGCTAAAGTATATTTCATGAGCTGGTGACCTTCTTTTTTCATAGGTTAACCAGCTGCAGCATGAACTGTCAAAGAAGGATGACCTGCTTCGTATTGTTTCAATTGCTTCCGAGGAGAGTGAAACAGATTCCAGCTGTTCCACACCCCTTCGTTTCAATGAGTCTTTCAATGTATCACACGATCTGTTGCAGCTGGATGTCTTGCAAGATAAACTCAGAGAGCTGGAAGAGGAGAACCTTGCTCTCCGATCGAAGGTATATCTGACTTACAGTGTATATTATATATACTGGATATGAAATAAATCAGGATGGTTAAAAAAATCCAGCATCTGTTTTTCTCTTGAAGTGTATGACTATTTTGTATCACTGTATACAAATCATACCCAAACACTTTCCCTCCACCCCCCATATCCTTCTGTTTCCTTCACTACTCCTCATTATCTCCAGAGTCCTCTAGTAGTCTTTCCTCAATGCCTTTATGGTATATAAAAGAATATGGGAACATATGTAAGCATCCAGCAAAAGTACTTGGACCCATCAGGCCCTCAAGCTTGTGCAGCCTGTTCTGTTATAAATCTGACTGCAATTAGTAGTGGTATTTTGGGAATCCATTGTGCTGCCATTACATTTTTGTCAGCCTATATTCAATATTAAGGGTTAATAAGCTTCTACTCAAATTCTTTTAAAGACACACTTAGTTTTGACTCTGTGATTAGTCTCTGTATTTTAATTGGTCTCTCTTATGTATAAAACATGAATACAGGCACTGTGCCTTTACAAGGATAGAGACTAAATGGCCAGACAAAATAATGGCTATAAAAGTCATGGAACCAACAGCAAAGGTTACAAGAATTGGAATCTGCAGATGCAGCGTCTCTTCTTCAGAGGTGGAGAGTGGAACTTGTAAAATAGGAGATTGGTTAAAAGTGGGTTCTTTTGCTGTTTTTAAGAAAAGGGGAGTGTTGTTTGTAAGAAGGGGGGGGTATTTAGTGTGTGTGGTTTTTTGTTTTTGTTTTGTTTTATGTGAGCCTTTCCCAATATAAGCTTGTTACAGCAGTACAACAGAGACTAGATTCCTTTAATGTGAACAAAATATACTCTTCCCCTTGTTTTGTCTCCAAAATACTCATCCTGAGATGCACATCCTTCCTATAACTCCCTAAGACCAAATGGATAGTTTAGTAGTGCTGTAGGAGAAAAAGAGATGATCAGACTGCTTTTATTGTGCTGCTAACCCTGTATATGATTACAGAACTTTACAGACCAGGGATTAATTTAGTCTACCTTAGTGTGAAAAAATGGAGTTGACAAGAGACTGCTATCATTCTGTGACATAACATAACCTTCACTGACTTGAAATAGCCTCAATCATATTGAGCCTATATTTGCCTTTTTTTTTTATTTTCATATGGCAGCATTATGTAAAGAAGTGTGTTTGCCTGCACTTGTGTAGCTGTATTTCTACTTGCTTGGATAATCTTTAAACCCATTTACTAAGTTTTATGGTGAGTCATTTACTGGCAGACAGTTCTGAGTATAGAAGACTTATCTGTGCGAAGTTTCATATTACCATCCTCACAATCGAAACAAAAGTGGGAATCTAGTATGCTCGATGTTGTTTAGACCTGTTGTGATGATACTCAGTCTCTGGCCCAGAAGATTTACAGTCTAAATAGACTAGTTGGGGAATATGGAGAAAAGCTGTTCTACTGAGAGCTTTTCAGTGCCATAAAAGATTTGGCTAACGTCATTCAGTTTTCAAGATTTCTTTGCCTTAAGAAGTTTTGAAGCAAATTCAATTGCTTACTTCTGATTACTGTGTTGGTTTACTTTCCCTACCAAATTACATATTTCTGCAACGATTTTTTATGAGAGGTGAGAGATCAGGTTTTGTTCATGTGTCTGTGTGTCTTTCACTCAAAAGTCCTATAAAATTCAGGGAAACAGGTTATGGTGGAAAAAATGGTTAGGAAGTATGGCCAGATGCATAGGAATTATGAAGATAGATAGAGGGGAGACTCTTCAGTTGCAAGAATTTCAGAAATAAAAATGTATAACGTTAATATATGTATAGATAAACTGAAATTGGAATACCAATAATTTTCTTGAAGGCTTGCCATCTGAAGACAGAAACCATTACATATGAAGAGAAGGAACAGCAGCTGGTCAATGACTGCGTCAAAGAGCTCCGTGAGTATCCAGGCTGTATCTTGCAATGGCAAAATGGTATTTGAAATACCTAGTGCCTACACCTTCTCAGTTACCCCTCAACCAAAAAATGAGCTTCAGTAGTTTATGCCAATTATTCAAGTCTTGCTCTTTACCCAAGTGCAAAATTGTTTCTGTATTTCATCAAGTTTCACACTGGCATTCAACTTCAGGTATGTCTACTGTGTTTAGAGGGAGAAAATGAACACAAAATCTAATGTCCTTAAACCTCCTAAACTGAAGCCTAGAGACACTGGAAAATCAACAAAATACATTTCTTGTATAGAGTATTCAGCACACCTGACACTGAACTGTATCAGTGCATAGACTCTTAAATGCTTATTCTAAATTACTATATATCTATGAACACGTTAGTTTATTTTTTAAATACATATTATGAACCAAAGTATTTAAATTGGCAAGTGTTTTAATTTGTCTAGAACAGTTGTCCGTATTTGCTTTGGGGACTACTTACTTGCAAAGAATTGCAGCTACTCTTATACAAATGCATGTTAAGTATTCTGAAACAATAAGGTACAGTCCTTTTTTTTTTGTGTGATGATTGTGTAACCTGGTGATACAATTTTTTTATCTGTAGTCATTTGATGTGTGTGCTACTTCCTTTGTGCATAATATCCTTAAGCTTATATTTTAAGATTTTTTTTTTTTCTGTACAACCACCATAAAGAAGACTGGGTTGCTGCTTGATTTTTCATGTTCCAGATGACCATAAAATACTACTAATCGATACTTAGTTGGTTGTTAATTTACTCCGTTCCCTCTGAGAACCCCCCCACCAAAGAAGACTGGGTTGCTGCTTGATTTTTCATGTTCCAGATGACCATAAAATACTACTAATCGATACTTAGTTGGTTGTTAATTTACTCCGTTCCCTCTGAGAAAATATATATCCTTTGCAAATAGAAGTTATTTCATATAAGCTCTCATATTTTCCTTCAATGAGAATGTCTGTGAGTTCTGTTTTGTCCAATTCTATAGCAGAAGACTGGGTTGCTGCTTGATTTTTCATGTTCCAGATGACCATAAAATACTACTAATCGATACTTAGTTGGTTGTTAATTTACTCCGTTCCCTCTGAGAAAATATATATCCTTTGCAAATAGAAGTTATTTCATATAAGCTCTCATATTTTCCTTCAATGAGAATGTCTGTGAGTTCTGTTTTGTCCAATTCTATAGCACATATAGGCATGCTAGGTAATTCAGGCTCACAGAAAGAATCTTCTCCCAAAGGATGTCTAGTCTACAGCTTTAAAATTTGTATCTTCAGGAAAAAGGTATCTGACTGTGAGCTTAAATGTCCACAGGCCCATGGGCAGGACCTTGTTCTGCAGTAAATCTGTGAGGTACAATAACCACTAAATTTGTAGTGTGACATTTACACAAGATTGATCAGACTTTATTATGACTTTGCTATGCTTTCAGGGCAAGTGTACAAGCAAGGCTAACTGCATAAAAATATTTCAGCTTTTTGAGTTGCTTTGTCATCTCACCTGATGAAGTGCTTGCTCAAAAAAAAAGAAGCTGGAAATTATATGCCGTGGGTCTTTGGGGAATAGATAGTGACCAGAATCAAGAGCTAAACAGGTGTATGTTATGCTTGACAAGGTCTGACAAAATGCCTTTGCTCACAGAGAATGGTGGTTAACAAGATCAATTCTGAGACTGACGACTTCAGCATATTCCAAGTCTGGCCTTGGTCATGAGCCAGTATGTCATTTGAAATTGTTTATAGCAGCTTACCTTGGATTTTATTATGGTCATTTTACATATCTGTGATGTGTATTTCAGGTTCTGCATGCTTAGCTCTTAATACGTTATACCTGCATTTGAAGTTAACTCTCTTTCTCCTCCTCCTCTCCACCGTTTCTCTTTATCTTTTCCTTATGGATGTTCTAAGGCACCTACCTTTAGGTACTATGAATCGATTTCCTAAGAGTATTGGTCATTTTGCAGATTGTTGTTGACTTTCACTGATCTTTTCTGGGTTTTGGGCTTGGTTTGGTTTTTTGTCATGTGTTGGGAAAAGCTCTCTACTAAGTTCCTTTTATGTTTTGTAGGGCAAACAAATGCTCAAATTTCTAGAATAACAGAGGAGTTGTCAGAGAAGAGCGAGGAGTTGGTTCGCTACCAGGAAGAGATCTCATCCCTCTTGTCTCAGATTGTTGATCTACAACATAAACTCAAAGAAGTAAGGGAATGCTGATGAAGCATGTATGCGTGCGCGTGTGTGTGTGTGCACGCACGCCGTGTGCACACTATTGCTTACAGCAGGTAGAAATTGACTTGCAAGCCAGGGGGTTACAATGCAAGAAGTGGCTGGGGGGGGGGGGGAATTTATGAAAGGCCATCCCCCTCGGCAGA